GTAAGAGCAGAGGCCTGGCCTGGGCTTGTGCCCACCTGTGCCTGGGCTTGTGCCCACCTGGGCACTGACACGCTCACTTGGGCACTGTTTACCAGGCAGCTCGTGAAGCCTCCTGGGGCTCTGCCAGGACACCGTGATTGTCCGCATTTGGCAGGGGGCGTTGGTCAGCACCCACTAGCAGCTGGCTCTGCTGGACTCAAAGCCAGGCTGAGTCCAAGCCCGGAGCCTGGGGTGCTGCCTCGCAGACAATGTTTTAAAGTGTCCTGGTAAAAAGAAATCACGCTTTATGGGCCAACTAAAGTGCCCCTTGACCACTCTTTTAACTCAAGTGTCCAGTTCCTGGAAGGTGGCCTCTGGAGGAGACCCTGTCCTTGCCATTCCTGTGTGTGTAAAGTTACTCACGATTGTGAGAGTGGAAATCCAGTGCACATTGGCTCAGACTGAGGAGGAGAATGTTCTACTGACAGGACTAGCCCAGGAGCGATCTGGCTTCAGGTCCAGTGGGGCTCAGGTGCAAAGACCAGCCACCCGGTCTCTTTCTCTCCAGCTGTTGGCAACGCTTGACGTGGGGCCAGCTTCACCCTGGCAGGTCCCTGCTTCTGGTTCACAGCTCAGTGACCCCAGGAGAATGCGCATGCCTCTGCTTGGCCTGGCCTGGGTGACGTCCCTCCCTGACCTCGTCACTGTGGCCAAGGGAATGCAGTCATCAGCCAGACCTGAACTGAGTGTCCACCCTGGAAGCCCGCCGTTGGCTCAGTGTCGGGGTGGAACCGGGTGTTGTCAACAGAGAAGGAAGGAGGGACGTGGGGGGAAAACCAGACCAGCCTGTCTCTGCTGGAGGACACGACACGTCACCTCGGATCCTTTCTGCTGCCACGGAGGGCGCTCACCTTGCTGTGTCCCCAGAGAGCTGCCCGTCAGTGGAGATCAAGGCCAATGGGCCCAAGGGGTGGGGCTCTGGGAGCAAGGACGGCAGAGAAGGTGGTCAGGAGCCGGAGCCTCCCTTGCCCTCACCCGGCCCGGGTCCTCCCTGGACCCCGCACCTGAGCTCGGGGCCTGGCTGAGACCCTCCCCAGACTGCATCCCACAGCAGCTGGCGGCCGGGGCCTGGGTACACCCTCTCCACGGAGGAGGAGCTCGAGGCTCGGGGAGGTGACCTGTCCTGCTGGCATGTGGCAGGGCTGGGAGGGGAACCCAGGAGTGTCAGCAGGGTCCTTGTCCCCCAGGCTGCCCACACCAAGTCCTGATCTGGAGGGAAACTGTGAAGCATGTGGCCTGGGGACTCTGGGTGACTGTGGGGTCGGGATCGTGCGCTCTGCCCAATCTCGAGAGTTGGGGGTCCTGATAAAGAGGGAGGGGCCAGGCTGCATCCTGGCCTCGCAGCCATGCTGCTGGCCTTGGGCGTGAGAGGGCCCCAGGGTCATGCTCCCTGAGTGTCCTCCCTCCCGGCCCCTGGATGGATCCTGCACAAGGAAACCCCCAGGTCTTCCTGTCAGGGAAAGGCTCCCAATGCGTGGCCCTCACTGCCGCCTCGTGGGGGCTGCTGAGTGCTCCTGGGGGCCCCCTCAGCCCAGGGCTCCCTCCGCCTGTCCTGCGCCCTCACCCTCACAGTCCCCAGGACACTCCCAGTCCCCACACATGGCTCCCCTGGTCTCAGTCTGCTTTCCACCCCACCAAGTGACCAGAAGTAAGGCCAAGTGGCCAAGGAGGGCCCCTCTGAGAAGGGGCCCCGTGAAGCCATGGCTGCAAGACATCGGTGCACGGAGAGGGGCGCAGCCCTGGGCTCCAGGTCAGGCCCTGGGTCCTCATCCCCACTGTGCCTCTGATCCTTTGTGACGCGAGGAAGTCGCTCTGTGCCGCAGCCTCGGCTTCTCCACCTGGGACTTGCGGACAGACCGTCCCCCTTCTCGGGGTGGTTCCAGGGCGGAGCGTGGTGGGACCAACAGAGCCACAGTCCCGGGTGTCCTGACTCACCTGCGAGTGTGACCTCGGTGGGCAGCCGTCTTGGCGGAGGTGATTAAGGGTCCTGAGATGAGAGACTCGTCCTGACGACCCAGCTGGGCTGTGAATCTGACGGCGAGTGTCGAAAGAGACAGAGGGGACGCTGGACAAGGGGGTGAGAAGGCGGCAGAGCCGGCGCAGGGCAGCCTCAGGCCCCGCCATGCCCGGAGCCAACAGGGGCCAAAAGAGGCAGGAAGGGTCCTCCTGGGGCCTGAGAAGAGAACGCCGTCCTGCTGGTACCTGGACGCTGGACTCCTGCCCTCTGCAATTGTGAGAGAAGGTCGGCGTTAAGCCACCGAGCCTGTGGCGGTCTGTTTGGCAGCCACAGGAGGTTGACACGGGCCTGACAAGAACTGGCCGCCCTCTCTCCTCTCCCCTTACTGGATGGAGACTGGGGGGGGACTCACATCCCTCCAGAAGGTCATGAAAGTGCAGACGCTGCCCGCAGGGAGCAGAGGGAGCTGTGGAGCCCCCGACCGAGGCCCGAGGCCCTGCTCTTCCCTTGCCGGAGTCCCCCTCCCTCTCCATGTCCCCATCAGGACACCTGGCTCTCCAAGGGCCCAGCGCTGGCACCCGGGGAGCCACTGAGCGTGGAGGCCGGGTTTGTGGGGCTTGCTGTGGACCGGGTCTGACCATCCCCATGACTCTGCTTTTGGGCCACGGTCAGCCAGGGCTGGCCTGAGCGAGGCTGGACACAGCAGCCCAGAGAGGGCCAGAGGGGCTCTTCCTGGGGAAGCAGACGTGGATGCGGGCCCTGAGGGGTGCCGACCGCCAGCTTAGAAAGCTGCTCCCTGTGCTGGGGCCCGGCCCCGGTGTCCACACTCCCCGCGGTGGGTCCAGGCCGTGTCCACCGCCTCGCCCTGCTTACCCTTGCCTCTCACCTGAGATGAATCATGGGAGTGGGGGTCCTCCCAACAGGGAACCGTGGAAGGGCCCAAAGTGACAATGGTTAACTCTCTTGCTGGCCACGGGGCCGGAAGCCTGGAGGCAGGAGGAGATGGCAGGGGCCTTCCAGGCCTGGTTGACAAGGACCAGGACTTGTGCCACAGCTGCAAAGCCCATTTAGGGGACCAGGAGCATGCTTTGAGCCTGAGGTCACTCGGGTATTGGGCTGTGGCCAACTTGGCCCCATACACAGCTTCTATTCCTGGGTCATGGGCTGCGGCACCATATATGGTGCCACCCGAGCCTGGCACCCCCAGCCATGGTCAGGCAAGGGTGCGGGCAGCATTTCCTGTCCCCATGTCAGACCTAGCCCCCGCCCACCCCGCGGTGGACTCAGATCCTTCTAGCACGAGGGTCCCAAGCAGCCAGGCCTTGCCTGAGGCTTCCCGGCTGTCCATCCACTTGTGTGTCCCACCTAGCAGTGTGGCCCACATTAGGTTAAAAATGCTCAGGACCAAACCAGCCTCCCTCCCTGCAGCAACAAGAGGGGAAGTGGGCACAGTCTTGGTGTACCACTCGGCTCTGTCACGAGGACCTGTGGGGTCCCAGCGGTTCTCTGGGCTCTGGCGCCGCTCTTCTCACGGCTCCCCGTTCACTCGCCCCCTGGTCCACCCTGTCCACCGACCCGCTCTCCATGGAACCCGGGCCTCGGCGTGCTCCGTGGGTGCTGCGCCCCGAGCTGCGCCCCAGCCTCCC